TCTAGGTGCTGTTTACATGTATATGTGCATATAAATAGCCACCTGTCTAGGTGCTGTTTACATGTACATATGCATGGTCACTTGTCTAGGTGCTGTTTACATGTACACATATGCATGGTCACCTGTCTAGGTGTTGTTTAAACATGTACATATGCATAGTCACCTGTCTAGGTGCTGTTTACTTGTATATATGCATAGCCACCTGTCAAGGTGCTGTTTACTTGTACACATATCCATGGTCACCTGTCTAGGTGTTGTTTAAACATGTACATATGCATAGTCACCTGTCTAGGTGCTGTTTACATGTATATATGCATAGCCACCTGTCTAGGTGCTGTTTACATGTATATATGCATAGCCACCTGTCTAGGTGCTGTTTACATGTACACATATCCATGGTCACCTGTCTAGGTGTTGTTTAAACATGTACATATGTATAGTCACTTGTCTAGGTGCTGTTTACATGTATATATGCATAGCCACCTGTCTAGATGCTGTTTACATGTACATATGCATAGCCACCTGTCTAGGTGTTGTTTATACATGTACATATGCATAGCCACCTGTCTAGGTGCTGTTTACATGTACATATGCATAGTCACCTGTCTAGGTGATGTTTACATGTATATATGCATAGCCACCTGTCTAGGTGCTGTTTACATGTACATATGCATAGTCACCTGTCTAGGTGCTATTTACATGTACATATGCATAGCCAGCTGTCTAGGTGCTGTTTACATGTACATATACATAGTCACCTGTCTAGATGCTGTTTACATGTACATATGCATAGTCACCTGTCTAGGTGCTGTTTACATGTATGTATGCATAGCCACCTGTCTAGGTGCTGTTTACATGTACATGTGCATAGTCACCTGTCTAGGTGCTGTTTACATGTACATATACATAGTCACCTGTCTAGGTGCTGTTTACATGTACATATGCATAGTCACCTGTCTAGGTGCTGTTTACATGTACATATACATAGTCACCTGTCTAGGTGCTGTTTACATGTACATATACATGGTCACCTGTCTAGGTGCTGTTTACATGTACATATACATAGTCACCTGTCTAGATGCTGTTTACATGTACATATGCATAGTCACCTGTCTAGGTGCTGTTTACATGTATGTATGCATAGCCACCTGTCTAGGTGCTGTTTACATGTACATATGCATAGTCACCTGTCTAGGTGCTGTTTACATGTATGTATGCATAGCCACCTGTCTAGGTGCTGTTTACATGTACATATGCATAGCCACCTGTCTAGATGCTGTTTACATGTATGTATGCATAGCCAGCTCTTTAGGTGCTGTTTACATGTACATATACATAGTCACCTGTCTAGGTGCTGTTTACATGTACATATGCATAGTCACCTGTCTAGGTGCTGTTTACATGTATGTATGCATAGCCACCTGTCTAGGTGCTGTTTACATGTACATATGCATAGTCACCTGTCTAGGTGCTGTTTACATGTATGTATGCATAGCCACCTGTCTAGATGCTGTTTACATGTACATATGCATAGTCACCTGTGTAGATGCTGTTTACATGTACATATGCATAGTCACCTGTCTAGGTGCTGTTTACATGTACATATACATAGCCACCTGTCTAGGTGCTATTTACATGTACATATGCATAGCTGCTGTCTAGGTGCTGTTTACATGTACATATGCATAGCCACCTGTCTAGATGCTGTTTACATGTATGTATGCATAGCCAGCTCTTTAGGTGCTGTTTACATGTACATATACATAGTCACCTGTCTAGGTGCTGTTTACATGTACATATGCATAGTCACCTGTCTAGGTGCTGTTTACATGTATGTATGCATAGCCACCTGTCTAGGTGCTGTTTACATGTACATATGCATAGTCACCTGTCTAGGTGCTGTTTACATGTACATATGCATAGCCAGCTGTCTAGGTGCTGTTTACATGTACATATACATAGTCACCTGTCTAGGTGCTGTTTACATGTACATATGCATAGCCACCTGTCTAGGTGCTGTTTACATGTACATATGCATAGCCACCTGTCTAGATGCTGTTTACATGTACATATGCATAGTCACCCGTCTAGGTGCTGTTTACATGTACATATGCATAGCCACCTGTCTAGGTGCTGTTTACATGTATGTATGCATAGCCAGCTCTTTAGGTGCTGTTTACATGTACATATGCATAGCCACCTGTCTAGGTGCTGTTTACATGTACATATATGCATGATCACCTGTCTAGGTGTTGCTTACATGTATGTATGCATAGCCAGCTGTTTAGGTGCTGTTTACATGTACATATGCATAGCCACCTGTCTAGGTGCTGTTTACATGTACATATGCATAGCCACCTGTCTAGGTGCTGTTTACATGTACATATATGCATATAGTTTGTAACCCAAAGATTATTTTGGGACTGTTAATTCATTAGAAAACACACAAAAAAAATGGCAACTACAATTGTTATATATTATTTTCAGGTGCAAGTTATGTGAACATAATATGTATTTACCGTATTACAACTTTTGTCAAGAATGCTGGCTATGTTCTGAACGTTGTTTTGGAAAAAATCAAGTGGTAAGTCTATAGTTCTTTCATTAAATTACTGTATTTTGTAATGAAATTTCAAAATACAAGAACTTAAATATTACAGGGTGTGGCTTGGATAATACTATACATATACTTTACATTTTAATCTCCAGATTTCATATCTATCCCGTATAACATTTGGCTGAAACACTACATTTATTGTTGTGGTCGATGCCTACCTGCACTCCTATTTTTTTGAGAAAGTTGTTTATACATTGCATAATAATGTTAATTGGTTTATTATGTAAAATCATGGAGATATATTGCTCGATGGCACTATGAAATAGCGTTCTTCTTGTGTTACAGAGACATGTTTTGAGAAACTTGTCCTAAATGTTTTCCAAAAATCACTAAATTTAGAACAATTCTATAGGGCTCAACTTTGAAAAAAAATTGCATTTTTGACGTTTTGAAACGTAATTTTTGTAAATAATTTCAAATCATCTTATCGGTCTCCAGCCTACTAATTGAGATATGGTATATTGTCATAGGAAATTGACAAAATAGTCTCTATTCCTTAAAAAAAAAAAAAAAAACATTTCTCACCAAAATTAGACTGATGAATGACAACTTTTTTTTAGGTCAATACACTCATAAACCCAAGGAAAACAATTTAGTGAAAAATGAATTTGCATACATGAATAGGCTTCTATGTTAATAGTGATTAATGTTTTCAAACAACTATGTATTTTCATGCTTTCAAGGAAAGAGTCTGTACAATGGGTAAGTGCTGCTGAGTTGGTGAATGATAAAATTAATAAGTGCAGCTTTATGCTGGTTGACTGCTTACATGTTGACTTGATATGTATATTTAACTGAGCTATTTGCTAAGGATGAAACCCTGATTTTTTTTTAACCAATTGATAAGGTAAAAGGAACCTTGATTTTTTTTGGCATGTGTTAACAAGGCTTAATATATAATACTCATGCACATGTCCTTCAAAATGTCTCGTCATAAAACCTGGTGTTTGATCGTTGTTTGATTTTTTCAAATACTGGCATATTGCATGTCTATGGTAATCATACATAGACTGTGCTTCGACATTGACCTTTTAAAGCGAACCTAAATGCGGCCTTAATTTATAGTTGTGTATATTCTAAACTGTTTTTGAAATAATATTGCAGTGGTTTAATTTTGTTTTAATTATAACTGTAGCTTGGATAGGCATTTGAAGTGCTTGCAATTAAACACCTTGGAGGCCATTCATAGAGGGGAATAAACAACGAACGAACATATTTAACATCCGGGTACTTTTCAAAGCTATGACGTGAAAGGCCATAAATACCTCATTCCACATTCAGTTTACCTTTCAAAAATTGTTAGTTACTTTTTTTTTTGGTGAAATCTGTCCAAACACATCCTACTTTGATATCGGTAATTCACTTCTGCATTGTATTACCAAAATGTCTTGCATCGATATGACACAGCATTTAAAAAACAGATATGATCTATCAGGTCAAATGATGTTGTTGCAGGTCAAATGATGTTGTTGCAGGTCAAATGATGTTGTTGCAGGTCAAATGATGTTGTTGCAGATCAAATTGTGAAATTGTGCATTAAGAGTTTGCTGATGAAGACTTTGATTTTGAGCATGTTCCAGCAGACCCTATTAATTTTAACCTTGTTAATTCTGATGTTAAGAAATTAATATCGTAAATAAAATGCATATTTTTTGTGGCCATGCATTTCTGTTTTTTCATTGTAAAAATGTTGTGGAAATCAATGACAACGTAACTAATTTTGCAATTTTATTTTCCCCAAGAAGACGTAATAGGTCACACAGTGAATTACAATTGTCATTTGCACAAGTTACTGTATTTTTATTTTTTTATTTGTTTTTTATTTCATCATTTATTTCTTAGCTAAATGACTGAATTTGATTGCATAACAAACATTTTTCTTGGTGAATGTAAAATTGCAGGTTTTGTGTCTCTAAACAATTGGATAATAAGCTGGGATAATGATGTTAGATGCGTTTGTATTTTAAGTCACAATTTTAAGTAATTATTATTCATGTCCTATGTGACAAAGGTGTCTGGTAATATAGTTATAAACATATGTTACAGTACTGCAAATTACTTTATTTTCACTTGAAATTTATTTTCACTGGAGGAATGATTCAGTGGAAATAAAATCCAGCGAATATACCTTTTTTTCCTATTTTTTTACATTCAACTCTATATAAAACAGCTAAAATGTCTTTTTAGCAAAAATTGTTTTCAGCTAATGATGATAATGATGATGTCACAACACCTTTGCTAGATTGACCAATTGGACTTCTGACATCCATTTTAAATTTATAGCAGTGCATAAGATTAACTGTCCAAATATGGTTGGTTTATTGCTGGCATAATGGTTGTGGCTTCAAGTAATCATAATCATGTAATATTGTTTGTTTCACAGGTTGTCCAGGAGTGCGATGGTGTACATAAAAGAGAATGTGGTTGCGAACCCGGTACTTATCCAATGTATGACAATATGTGTATACGATATTCGTGTCCACCTGGAGAAAGAGTGTCATTGAGAGGTCAGTTAACCAAAAAGCGTTAAATTAGAGTTTTTTCAAACAATTAGAGCATGCCTCACTAAAATACGTTATAAATTGAATTTTTCTCAGTTAAGTAATTCAATAATTTTGCTTTTGATGGAATATAACACATTTTGCAAAATCTAACAAATTATCAAAAAAAAAATTGAAACCTCTAAAATCAAAATGTTGCACCCACCTCGGCCAGAAGGATTAAAATTAGCTGTTGAAATGTGCCATTTTTTACTGTTGATTAAAAAGCACACAATGAGAGTCTTTGCAGTTACCCTGTCTATGTGCATTAGCTATATTAACGTTGCGACAACTTTGACTTATCTTCACACCTAACAAGTGATGACAAACCTACCAAGTGGAGACCCTCACTATTTTTCATAATTTATATTAATATTTTAGCAAATTTAAGTCAAATGCAAGTAGCTCAGGGTAGGTAAAGAAGGAAGATATGGTTCAATTTATATTAATATTAATATTAATATAACTGTACCATACCTACCCCCTTGACTAACTCTAAGATTTGCAAACATTTCTATGTTAAGTCACAGGATGTATGATGTTATTTCTACTTTGTTGCATTTTTATTTAATTAAACAATTTAGATTAAATTAAACTCTAATTAAATCGCAACCCTATATAAGGTTGCATTTTAATCTAAACATAATGCAACTATATTAAAAGTTAATTCAATGCGTATCATCACAACGACAGTAAGATGTTTACGCATTTGTGTGTGTGTACTTTTATTACCGTACTATTGTTACAAGGACAAAAATACAGATATATACAACTTCCAAGCACACTCACACCTTTCTAGGATGTTTTTAATAATGCACAGACCTGATCGGTTTTGGTTTAAAATATGTTCATGAATATCTCATTTGCATAATATTTAGTCAGTTTTTGTTTTTTCCATCAATATCCCGAGTACTAATGTTCTTATTGCAATGAATCTTGGTACATAAATAAAGACAATGCGAGAACCTAATTAGTTGGGTTTAAATACATCCATATTTATTACCTAACTTGCGTAATAATTGTTGGTCTTCCACCATTAAAAGAACAAAACATCACATTCTAATGAATCTAGGTACATAGGTGTCCTGGAACAATGCACTGAGAGCTGATTGGGTTGAAATCTGTGCGTAATAATTATCTAATTTGCATAATAATTAACCAATTTTCACCCTGTATCTCAAAAAACAATTATTGCATTTTATTTCAGTATAAGTAAGTCTTAGAATATCAGTGACTGCAGGGGCCAATGCTTGAGACTTGATTAGTTTTGGATTGAAATTTGAGTACTGTAAAATATTTTATTTTCGCTTGGAATTAATTTTCGCTATTTTTCGCTGCAGGAGTGATTCAGTGAAAATAAAACTCAGCGAATATACCTTTTTTGCTGTGCTATATTTTACATTTACATTGTAACTCGCCAAAAATCAGTGAAAATAAATTCCATACAAAACACCTAAAACTTATTTTCAGCTAAAATAAATTCCAGCTAAAATAAAGTATTTTACAGTATACAAATTGAATAATTTGCATAATCATCACATTTCATTGAAATTTAGTACATAGATGCTCTTGGGGTAATCACAAACATGATTAGTTTAATGATGAAAAACATGCATATTGTTTATCTATTTGTTATTAGCTAATTTCTAATACTCAAAAAATCATATTTAAAGCGCGGCAGTTGTCGCGCCGCGTCCTGTTTGATATGAGACTCATAGCGACGTATACAATGCATGTAAGATACATTGTTTATTTACATGAAATTCGAACACGCGCTGCGCGATGACCACCACGCTTTAAATTGAATTGGGCAGAGGTACTTTGGAATAAATCAAACAGCAAATCATACATGTAGATGTACAATCAAATTAATTTTCTGCAAGTTTTATAAACATCAATACTATTGATAACATTGTTTTTAATGTTGTGTATCTTAAATATCAGACAAATATATTACTCACCAAGATTATTGTTTGAAGGCTAATTTTAAATTTTAAATTACTTATTATGTCTCCAATACTCTTAGCACACCAGATTTCTGTCTAAGCTTTCTTTTATTCTACTTTTAGCCAAGTTTGGTATTGATGTTCGCTGTCGGCGATGTCCGAAAAATACTTACTCCAGTGCTATGAACAGTCTGATCTTTTGTACGCCCCACACAGACTGCTACGCCATCAATCAGGACATTAAGTTTCCAGGCAATGCTACCCATGATGCAGTGTGTGTGAGCCATGAACCAGTTGACGAATTGTTGCCATCAGATGCTTTGAATAATCAAATTAAATCAGATGCTGATAATAAATACAGTGAAGGTATAGGATACTTGTCCTGTAATAACAATTATTAAATGCAGGATATTTTTTAAACGCCTATTACCCTGGGGAGCAGATCCTCTGGCAACCATAAAATTCTGATTGACCAGGGATCACATGTGGCCACAGTCTTCAACTGTGACCTGTCTGATAGTTATTTTGTCCCCAAGGAAGCCATAGAATAATCCATTTTAACTTAGAATTATCAAAAATTCTACACCCTGGTAGGGAGAACCCTATCTCCCTACTTAGTGGAACCGCTAAATTACAGTGCTCCCTATTGCAGTTTTTTTCTAGAAAAACCATTGCCATGTCTTTCTCATTCATATATCCTTTTATTCTGTACTCGTTACTTTTATTTCTTGATCTTCATATTACTGTCATTTTAACCTCTGTGTGCAGTGCAAGTATAGCGTAAAATTATAAAGTACTTAATTTTGTTTTCCACTGTCATTCAGTACTTTCCAGAGGACATTTGAAGCATAGTTGTGTTGCTAGATTAGTCAAACAAGTATGATTGGCACATATAACAATTGATCAACAATTGAAAAATTTGCATATCATAAGTCTATTTAAATGGGACCATGATATGCCATGCATGGTTGTGAACGTCACCTGTGCATGCGTCAGACGGCCATAGCGTGTCATTGTTTACAAACAAGCGTCTACCCATAAGCCTTTGCGTTTTTAGCATGTGTTGCTATCGTCGCTTGGGACTCTATTCCCGTGTGTGCACAGGTGGCGACCCTCCGGCTTTAAGCTATATGCCTATTGTTTACATTTGTACATATCATTTACATTTCAGATGCGATTGTAAACACAACTTCTGATACTGACTTGAGAGACACTTTGGCGAAGTCCAGTGTTAATAACTCATCCAAGGATGTCTTAACATCTACAATGCCTCACAGTGAAGTTTCACCAGAAATTTTACCAGAGAATACGGTAATTAATGTATCAGATGCCATGGCAACAAGAATAGAGCCTGACTTGCTTCAAAGGGAAGTATCACCTGATATCTTATCAAAGAATACAGTATTTAATCAATCAGATCAGATGGAACCTGAGTTGCCAGATAATGGAAAGAAAGGAACTGATCTTGATTCAGTATCAGATACTGTGGGGCCCACATTACCAGATACAGTTCCAGATATTCCACAAGAAAATGAGCTGCCAGATTCCTCTTCAGAGAGTACTGAACCAAAACTGTATGATCCAGATGCCCTGCCAGAGAACATTGAGTCTAATATAAAGGTATACAAACAAATGTATTATAGCTTCCTACTTAATATTTTGAGCCCATGCCATGAGCTTATTCAGGTTTTTGAGGAACATTCAATGCATCTCCGTACCAAGATACATCGTACATCCACCCCTCGCGCTTACTTTGATCTTTGCCGGCAGTTTCCCATCCCTCTTTTAGAGGGTCTATGATGCAAATAGCAAACGATACTTAAATGCACTTTTAATAAAAGCACATCTCCAATAGTAGAGCCTATTAACCAAAAAATTGCATTTGCTGTATAATAAATCTTAGTGCGCTTAGAGCTAATTTAAGATAAGTGCAATATAAATACTCTTTATTATTATTATTATTATTATTATGGCCACACCGACTTAATTTTATGGATGACATCTGCACGCACATTAGTTTTCGTCTGTTCTCAAAAACAAAAAAAATCTCCAGCGACGAGTCTCCACAGATTGTTTTCTGTCTGGAACTTGCCGACTCATATTATCACAAAGTGCCAGCTTGTCGTAAAACTAGTTTTGGACCACCTCAAAACATGCCAATTTTGTCCTAAATGATTCTAACATGACGACCACGTGAGCATAAAAGTTGAGAGGAAAAATGGAGGGATTGTTGTAGACTGGTACGTAATTGACGTCGGCCAGGGAGATGTGACGTTTACACAGCTATACGAGAGTTTGGTAGCGGCAAGCGAGTTTCGCCCAGACAACTTTAAAGACATATTGTCCAGAGTGGCTATCTCGCGTTTCTTCTGCAACGATGAGAGAAATGGGAGAGGAGGGGAGGTGTATGGTGGTCTAAAAGTTGGTCAGGCGACAAGTCAGTTTGGTTGTTTTGTTAGCATTGAAGTCAACAAAACTGCAAAGAAAGCAGAGGAAGTTCCTCGGCCGAAGTCCGCTTTCGAGGTGAAGAAAATTTTCTTCTTATTTTTTTTTCATTATCTGATTTGAATAATTTGCTTGCACACACAGTGCAATGTTTTGTTAGTTATTGTCATAAAATAGTGATATGTACATTCCGCCTTGACTTGTACTGAAAATGGTGTTCATGCTGTACCTTGAATGCAGTGTTTCTGACTGAAGGTACTTCATCATGACTACATGTACGAGAGCTTGTCTGAAATGGTTATACCTGTGAGAGGTGTACATCAACATCAACAAAGACTTCTTGTTGTATTTTTGTTACACTCTGTTCTGTGGTTCAATTTGTAATACCAGCTCCGTAGTCCTGTGGTTTTAGCAGTATTTTTTTTTTTTTTGGCAGGATTTTTTTTTTCGCCCTCCCGCATTAGTTTTCAGGTCTCCAGAGGATGTCATCCATAAAATTAAATCAGTGTTACCTATTTAAATAATACCCAAATTTACATGCACTATTTAAGAAAATATGATATATTATTACTTTTGTAGAATATTGACACCTATCCTGTCAAAGATGAATTTGAGGAGAATGGTGATGGTGTCATTCAAAATAATGATGATGGTGAGAAAGAGAAGGATAGAAATGTTAATCAAGGTACAGGAACTACTGCAGTTTAAGTGAAATTTATGTGATGAATAATAAATTTGTATACCTTGGCAATATAGTCCTGGTAATATACTTATTGAGAATTTCTTCCTATTTAAGTACACTATTTTTTCAGACATTTTGACATGCTAATTATTTATTAATTTACTTAAAAATAACACTTTTGTTTCTTTTCTAGTTTCTACTGTTCCACAGTCAGTCGGTTCAACTGAACAGTCTGATGACACTAATCAAATAAATGAAAAACAATCTAGTTTATATTCCCACACCATTGGTTTGATTGTTAGCGTTGTGTGCATTGTTTTAACTGGGGTATCAGTGACTGGAGCATATATCTGCCATCGTTTTAAGCGTGCAAAGAAGAAGATGTCACCAAAGAGATCACAACAATCTGTAGGTTATTCAATGGTGAATGTAGGCATGGGACCAGAGCAAGGTATTTGTAGTGATTCAGAATTCTTTTCATATTGTATACATGATATCCATTTAAAGCGTGGCTCTGCAATCCTAGGGATTGCACCAGTGCATCATGGGAAATGTCATTTGCATGGACCGCCCAGTTATTTACTTGGTACATAGCTGTTATCATTTCAACTGAAGGTGTTAATTCCGTAATATAACATTTGAAAGGACTTATTAAATGTTGTTTTTAACACATTTGAATTTAAATTACTATTTGAATTTAAAAGCTTTCAACTTTTTTCAGACTCTTACACAACTCTAGATGTGTGTGTAAAGTACTATTATAATCACCTTTACTTAAATTTCCCAAAATAAACTTTATAATTTTATTTACTCCACAGAATATGTTAGTGGTCAAACCACTTTGCGAACTAATTTATCATGTACTCGACTTCTTCAACAAAATCTTGTTCTAAAACCTGGTAAGTCTTGCAAATAATTGTACGTATACTACCTTTTAAAATACTACAACTTTGAAAATTATCTAGAAACTATTATTCCAAAACACACGTCGACAATATAACCAAGCTAAGAATCAGTGCACATACACTGCAAATAGAAATAGGAAAACACAAAAATATTGATCTGATCAAAAAAAAAAATGCTTAATATGGCCAGATTCTACAGTGCAAATATTACAAAAAATGGAGAGATGATCTCTTCAACAAACACAACATACTCCAGGACAATTGCTCTGACTATGAAAATTTGATAAACATACTAAATCGAAAAAATAGACAAATGTTAAAAGAGTTAAAGTGCCTGTGAAATGGCTGCTATTTTCACGCCTAAAATTATCTATTGATACATAAATATTATTAATTTTTATGTTTCTAAGCATGAATTATTTTTTTTAAGTGAAAAAATGTGTTTTAAACTCAGTCTACGACAACTTTATTTTCGTGTATTTTAAAACATAAATTCCCTTTGTGACGTCAGAAGGGAAAGTTGCATGGCAGCTTGCATTGCCGATACGTGTAAATAAAGCAAATTTCTGGTGCTGTTTTCTCATCTTTGACTATATTGACACTTATGTACTTGTTCGTCGAGGAGGATTGGACCATAATGAACACATAGTATCAAGTTTGTTGCATGTGGTTGAGTTAGATGCGAAATATGTCCGGTCTGGTGTAGCTGGTCATCGTGGTCGGCACTGTCACCGGCGCACGTTTGTACACTGTCGCTGGACTCGGGCACTGAACAAAATCAATTGACGCCTGAATTGTCTTGTTATTTAGCAGGTTACTAGGCACATCACTGTTTTATTTCATCGATCGTCTGAGTAAAGAAAACATTTAAAATTAAAATAAAAAGAGAACATATTTTGACATTCTAAACATTAAATTATAGTGATCAATAAAATAGAGAAATAATTAAAAAAAAAAAGACAAATCACAGTTACTAAATAAATGACTGCCGCGTGGAAATAAATTTGTTGAAATGGGTGAACGTGTCGGGTCACGACGGGGAAAAGTGCGTGAATGGCGGCGTTTAATTGGATAACAAAAATAATTGAGAGCAACTCACATACAGACAAATTCAGACGATTTAGCATGATTTTCATAATTATGACATATTAAAAAATACTTGTTGAAAACACATTGGCAGCCCAAGCCTGGATTCTTATTCTATAAATTATTACCCAGATCAAGCAACAAAGGTGTGAATTCGACATTCAACACCAATCACCGGACAATTCAGACACTTTAGTAGCCTGTGAAAATTAAAACAGCCTGAGGGCTGAGTAATTTCCTGTTTGTCCGACGCTTCGTCTTCGTGCCACTATCAAAATTACTGCTAACTTTTACATAACACGGGTGGTCTCTATAAAGCGACATTCAGGATCGCAAAAAAAAATCAAATCATTTGAAACACTTACTCGACGTCTCTCTCCCTTCTGAAATCCGCCTCAGTGATCATGGGCTGGTCCGGAATCTATTTTTTTAAAAACGTTTTGTAATGCGCCTCGTTGTTTTGTCATGGACAAGGACAGTTTTTCGAAAAAAAGAATCTGAGGTGAAGTGAACACTACATATGACGCTGTAAGGAGGAGGTCCACCCTAACTTTTCTCGTTATTTTCACAGCTTTCGTCCACCAATTTTGCACCTTCGGAACGATTGGGAACGTGTAAATACTTACACTATGACTATACGCACTACTGCAACCATCCACAACACAACGTTTAACCATCGTAAATGTTTGTTGGGAAAACAACTTCTAAAAACTAAAATAAAATAAAATAGACAAAAAAAAGGAAGAAACGACGATCAATGTATATATTTTAAAAGTGTGTTGAATGACACAGTGTTATAAAAGTACGGCCCAGGGGTATGGCTTCCTCTCATATTTTAGCATTTGGTGGCGCACTTTCGGCGAGAGTCGGAAATCCAGAAACAGTCGACCGTTTCAGGATAGGTGGACGTGGCTACTGCACGGGAAATATCTCAAATTTACTTGGATACGAGTAATCATTTTCAGCAAAAAAATCAATAACTGCCCATTTCAGTGAGGCACAGATCTAAAATGGGAAACGTGTGGGTGGGCATTGCACAGGCACTTTAAGTAAATTTATTTACCAGTGTTTTACTATGAGGGAAGACAGTTTAAAAAAAAGATTTTATTTTTTATTATACATGTTTTTTATAAATTATCTTTTTTTTCTTTCTTTCTTAACTGTTATATATTTTATTAGTGTTAGTTATATTTGTAATTTTTATTTTCTATCATATTTTATATATATATTACCTTTATTGTATTGATACGATTTCAATAAAGTTAATATTATTATTATTACAACTTTACTTCTACTTAATAAAATAATGACAATTCAGATTTGGTATTTGTTGTATTAAAGCTTTTTAAAATCAATTACAATTAAACTACACATACAATACAATAATAGATTTTAAATAAACTACAACTAAATCACCATACCATTTTGAAAAGATTGTAAGAGCATTGCTCTCCTACTCACACAACCAATGTGCAGGGCTATTAATCCAGCGTTGAGGGGGAATGCATCCATTTCAAAGGTCAAATTTTATAAAATTGTCTTAGTACATAGGAATATCAAAGAACATGCGGAGGTTAGCTCATTAGGCATCAATGCTTACATTTTTGGCTCCCAGGATATTTTCAAAAGACAAAGCCTGCTGTAGATACCCAGTAAACCCTTTTAGTGACTGACTATTTCTGTCACCAATCATAAGTTTTAAACCCACGAAATTTTTTCAGAATTTTTCAAAATTTGGTTCAAAACATTTTAGCCAATTGTACAATATGTCTATTTGGTCCAAAGTTCAGAAAAAAAAATATGGAAAAATACATGAATAGTGGCAAAATGTTGAACCAAAATTTGGCCAGGAAAAATTATGGCCCTCAAGGGTAAATGCATCTCTATTTTTGATAGAATAAATATGGTGTTTATTTCTTCCTATCTTTTAGATAAATATATTGAAGAACTGTTAGAGGATATTGCCAGTGGTGTCCGTAGAAATTACTGGAAGGCCTTCCTGCGATCCAGTCCAAGTCCTGGACTAACAGATAAGGACATTGAAGATATGGAATACAAATATGGCAATGAAGTACTAACTGAGGTTATCTACCAATGTCTGTGTTGTTGGAAGAATCGCTGTGGACTGAATCCACCTTTGAAGGAACTTTTACAGTCCTTGGTAAAATTTGACAATGTTCTGTGTCGTAAAGTGATATGTGAAAACTGTACGTGGGAGGATGTACCAAATACTGCTGCTTGTGATTAAACTATTTACTTTTCTGCCACATTGTGCTTTCGGGGAAAATCAGTTTCAAAATTTAGTCGTCATAAAAATTTATTCAGAATGATCATGATAAATTTGGGTTTGTATATGCGCTAATTATGTACCACTGGTCTGAAACTGATTTTGAGAAAAATATTTTCCAAAAATTAGGGAAATTTTGGTATGATTTTTCCATTGTGCTGTAAATGTATCTGCACTCTATGAATTCTAAATAAGGAACAATTATCTAAGATGGTGTGTGTGTTTCAAAGTTTTAACAGCCTTTCTTAGTCCAGTGCTACACTTGTCAGTTGAGGTGAAGTTACTGTATAAAAATTATGGATATTATACATAACGACAACAGGAGTATTGACTGATGCAAAGTGGAAACCAATATTACCGGTATGCATTGTATGGTTGATATGCATGTATTAACTTTTATACCACCTGACTTTCTTGCCCAAATTTGTCTGCATTTTTTTCGTATATTCTTCAATATTTCTGGAAATGAACCCTAATTTTGGAGCCAACAGACAAAATGTGAGTCAATTTTCAGTTATATTTTCTGAGCTTGAAAAGAGAACTAGTGGTGGAAAAGTTCAAGTGCATTTAACAATAGTTTTTGGCTTGCTCATAGTGAATGGAATAGAAAGTCGTAATAGTGGAAAAATGTCGGCCATTTTCTTCCATGTAAACTTCTTTTTTTTTCTTGCCATTACTTATTACTTGTAGAATACTTTATTTTCGCTTGGAATTTATTTTCGCTATTTTCGCTGAAGGGATGATTCCGTGAAAATAAAATCCAGCGAATATACTTTTTTTCATATATTTCACATTAAACTCATCAAAAATCAGTGAAAATAAATTCCAAGCAAAACGCCCAAAAAGCCTTTTCAGCGAAAATTAATTCCAGCGAAAATAAAGTATTCCACAGTATTTTGCCGATCACTATTAAACTTATAGATCACCTGTATACCGGTAGTTTTTGGAGTTGATTTGCTAAAATTTATTGGTTTTTTTTTGGTGATTTTTTTTCAAGTGTCTATACACTAGCAGTGCTGTTTGCACTAATTTATTACAGTGGATATTGTAACCAGTTCTGTAAACAAATGCTGTAACTGGAAATCATTTTTTTAGTAATGTACATAGTTTTACCGATCTAAATTGTTCTTTTACATACTATCATTAATATCACTCAATATAATTTTATTTATTAATAAGATAGAATATCTTATTTGCCAGAAAAGTTTTTTTAGTGTTGGATTACGTTTGCTATATTTTATATTTATTTCCACTCTACCTGCATGTAATGCATTGATTTTCATATACATGTAAGTTGTAAGTTAGTATGTCTAAATAATTTAATAATGTTACTGATGTCTAATAATTTTTATTATATCAAATATTGAAAAAAAAATATTTTTAATAAAAATTATTAAAACATTATTTTAAAGCAATATAGTTTTTTTTTAGTGTTAGATTACATTTGCTATATTTTATATTTTTTTCCACTCTACCTGCATGTAATGCATTGATTTTCATATAAGTTGTAAGTTAGTATGTCTAAATAATTTAATAATGTTACTGATGTCTAATAATTTTTATTATATCAAATATTGAAAAAAAAAATATTTTTAATAAAAATTATTAAAACATTATTTTAAAGCAATATAGTTTTTTTAGTGTTAGATTACATTTGCTATATTTTATATTTTTTTCCACTTACCTGCATGTAATGCATTATTTTCATATAAGTTGTAAGTTGTATGTTTAAATAATTTAATAATGTTACTGATGTCTAATAATTTTTATTATCAAATATTGAAAAAAAAATATTTTTAATAAAAATTATTAAAACAATATATTAAAGCAATATTGTAAAAATATTACATTTTAGGAATACATATTCTACAAATAGTTGTTGATGATAAGTTTCAGTATTTGTGTATTTTGTTTTGATGCGTTTTTGCTTGACAGGCGATATATAGACACAGGCGATGTGTACATCATGTATCATGTAATCACCAACCCTGTGTGAATCATCATATGCAGTAAATACCAGTGTAATACACTGCTTTCTGATTGGATGAATTCTGAAATTAATATCCCAGTATTTTTTCTGAATTTTTTACTCAAAATGGCTGATCATCTGAATTCATAGTTGATGTACCATATTTTCTCTATTACAAGCGCTTCACTGATAGCACATAAAACAAAAATTACCTGAGGGCAGTAATCATTGTATGCCAAATCATTGAGATTTGACTTGGTTTTGTTGTACGTGCGTGCGTGCGTACATACATACTCCTTTGTCATAAATAAATGTATGTGCTAATAATAGAGCAAAAAGAGTTGTTAGTACATTGTACTTAATTCCTGTTGTGTTTTGAGTTCCATCTGTTTGTGTGTTTGTGGATCAGATGTTATTCCTCGTACAATGACAAGTCATAATTGCAGACATATGCATGTTGATTTGTTTCCATTTTAATGACCGACTGTCAGCCATTTTTTGTTTCTAAATGAGCATTTGAACTTGTCATTAACTATGTTTCAGTCATGCTTGGACAATATCATTGAGAACAATGTCATATTAACAATGTCTTGTGAATTTATATTTCTTAATTAATTATCCATACCAAATAATGCTTACATAATCAACTAAACCTTCTGTACATTTTTAATAAAAATAGCAGCAATTCATAGGAAAAAGTTTTACTTTCTGCATAGAATATAATCATTGCAATATGTGTAAATATGTCTTTTACTGTACTGTACAGAGCAAATATTTATATATTAGTATGTATTTATTAGCTCAAAAATTTTAAGGATAAAGAATATAATACTACATAAGAATTTGTTTATATCCCCAAATATTTGACTGTAAAAGCAGTTTCGGTAAACATAATTTAAGTGCTATTATAGAATCCTATTGAATTCTGGGTAATTTGTATATTACTGGTATGCCATGTTCTTGTGAAGAGTGAAGAAAGTTAATGTATCACATGGCGTGTGACATGACAAAGTTGTCTAAAATCTGCAGGCTTGAAGCTTGATACAGTATGCAGTCACATGACTAATGTGTCGCATATCGTGTCACATGACAAAGTTGTCCAAAATCTGCAGGCTTGAAGCTTGATACAGTATGCAGTCACATGACTAATGTGTCGCATGATGTGTCACATGACAAAGTTGTCCAAAATCTGCATGCTTGTAGCTTGATACAGTCTGCAGTCACATGACTAATGTGTCACATAACGTGTCACATGACAAAGTTGTCCAAAATCTGCATGGTTGTAGCTTAATACAGTATGCAGTCACATGACTAATATGTCACATGACGTGTCACATGACAAAGTTGTTCAAAATCTGCATGCTTGTAGCTTGATACAGTATGCAGTCACATGACTAATGTGTCACATATCGTGTCACATGACAAAGTTGTCCAAAATCTGCAGGCTTGAAGCTTGATACAGTATGCAGTCACATGACTAATGTGTCACATATCGTGTCACATGACAAAGTTGTCCAAAATCTGCAGGCTTGAAGCTTGATACAGTATGCAGTCACATGACTAATGTGTCACATGATGTGTCACATGACAAAGTTGTCCAAAATCTGCATGCTTGTAGCTTGATACAGTATGCAGTCACATGACTAATGTGTCACATATCGTGTCACATGACAAAGTTGTCCAAAATCTGCATGGTTGTAGCTTAATACAGTATGCAGTCACATGACTAATATGTCACATGACGTGTCACATGACAAAGTTGTTCAAAATCTGCATGCTTGTAGCTTGATACAGTATGCAGTCACATGACTAATGTGTCACATATCGTGTCACATGACAAAGTTGTCCAAAATCTGCATGGTTGTAGCTTAATACAGTATGCAGTCACATGACTAATGTGTCACATGACGTGTCACATGACAAAGTTGTTCAAAATCTACATGCTTGTAGCTTGATACAGTATGCAGTTAAATGAGAAATTCTAAGGTAATAACTTTTTTTGGTAATAGATTTTTTTGATATGTAACAGGTGAAATTTGCGTTATTACATTAGTATTCTGATATTTTCAAAACTTTTGTTTTTGTTTCGATATTCTGTTCCTGATATTTTCAAAGCATTTTCTTGTTTCGATAATCTGTTCAGAGTGTCCATTGCAAACTTTGGAGAGACTATTTCATTTTAAGCTACCAAGAGACCCCTGATGTTGATGTAATTTTCCTGTTGGAATTTTTGTAGGTCAGTTTGAATTTATTTCTATCTTCTAAAGAATTGCCCCCAAATCAATACTACAGACTTGTTTTAAATGTTAAGATGTATAAATCATGAAGTGAAACTTATTGTAACTTTTCAAGCTGGTCATGAAAAGAAAAGATTCTTTGAATAAAAATATCATTTCTAAATATGCAAATTATTTTGGCTGATTTTTTTCAAAAATATTATATACTAAAGACCTACATGTATGCCCTACAAAAGATTCATTTCTGGTCCAGGGATGTTTATTAATGTGTTTTTAGCACCATCAAAGATGACAGACCGGTCACTGGTAGCATATCTCTCACTGGGTGAGTGTGCTACAGACTCAATGGGAAGGCTAATTCCACTGGCTGAGATTCATTCACTAACAAATGCGACTTTGGGGGAACCTTGGTTAAGGTCCGCAGATTCTTGTGTTCGACAGAGCCTGGTTGATGCCAGGATAGCGTATTAAAATTGTTATTTGATATGGAGATGGCCGCACAGCCCTGTCATGCAGTCTCAAACATGAATATGACTTCTGTGGCAAAATGCATTATGTGTCAGCACTTGCAATTTGCACATACAAAAAAAAAAGTCAGGAGACACAATAGTGACACTCAATGTCCAGAACTGTCGCCTAGCTGGCACAAAAAAATTAAAAAAAAAAAAAAAGATGATAGAGTGGAGCTGTTTATAAAGGTGATTGTCCACTTTCCCTCCATCTGTCAACAATTCCATTTTTAACTACCGATACCT